TTCCATCAATGAAACATCTGAAAGATAGACAACGAAAAGTAAATTAACGGAAATCAAGGAAGATTGGTTTTAATTCTTAAATAGCAAAGAGAGAAAGAAGAAAACAGAAAAGGAAATTTCTGGTTTTGTGTTTACTCTTCTGTTTTTATCTCTCCCACAGGGGGTTCCCAAGGGCCTGATCTCCATCAGAGAGCTTTGACAGTTTACAGCTAAGGACAGTAGCACTCCCCTGCAACAACGCCAGACTTGTCAGAACTCCTTTATCAGAGCACAAAGAATACTCTGGACAGAAGGCAAACCATGGATGAGCTGATATTCCACCCAAGTTTTCACTCAAAAGCTTAAAATTCTACCCTTAAGCTAATGTTTTTTAGACAGCCATCTGAGTGTAAAGTGAATCTGCTACACTGATTTTTAGAGTCTAGTCATTTGGCTTTTTTCTGCAGAACTCTACTTTGTGTTTAAAACTGACAGCTACACCAAGATATTAGATGGGCACCATTTTGCTCAAAACTCAGTGGAAACTGAGTTTTTATATATATATATATAAAATATATATATAAAACTATACCTTTTACTAAACTGCCAGTGAGAAGGAGTCCAACAGCAGTCTGCAATGATGATTTCACTTCTTCACTTGTAAGCATGAAGCCTGTTACATGATGGCTGAGGACAGCAGGGTGATAAGGTTCAACTGCAATCTGTAACTTCCCAGGTGCATGAACACCTGGCAGAACTAACACTATACTGGTAGAAACAAGCTTTTTCTTAGCCCGACACACTGGGCAGAGCTCTCAGCATTCAAATTCACAGGTAGTTACAATACACTTCTAGCATATAGTCCTTTATTAGAGCTTTTTATAATGAGTTCAGAATGCCAGGCCAATTTATTTTGGAAAATAAACAAGCATGAAACAGACTAGGCCTTAATGTGCACAATGTAGTATCAGCTCTAAGGTGGGGGTTAGATGAGTGTTCTTGAAAACCTGTAACCTTGGTCATACCTCCACTGTTCAGCTTGTGAGACAGAACATCTACTTTCTCCTGCAGCTTGTCGTACATTGTCACAATCTGGGCAACAGCACGGCGAGAAGACTCTACGCGCTCCTGCAGCTGGGATTCTATCTCCTCGCTGGTGCTGCTGGCCAGAGTGGCCAGGAAGGAGAATGCTGGCTCCAGTCCTTCCCCTGGGAACAGAAGGAGGCACTAGAAGGTAAATGTTATCTAGCAAATAACATATAACACATAATCTCCACAATCACAAAAGAGAGCCTTTGTCACCCTTTAGAAAGGGACATCAGCATTGTCCACAGCTGAAATCCATCTTTCCCACTGTCTCCAGACAGGTGTCTCACCTCGTTCCCTCTCATCTTTGCGCTCCTGGTTACTGTCAGAGTCTGGTTCAGGTTCTGGTACCACCAGCGCTTTTCTTTCAGACAAAAGGTCTCCAAGACCTTGGTCCAGATCGAAGCGTTTAAGGATGATGCGGATATTTTCATCAAACTGAATGATGAGACAGGCAAGGTAAGACAGAGAATGGATGTGAATAAAAGCAGTGCAATGGTACAGAAAAGAACAGTGTATAAAAAGCAGCAAACCAACCTGATTCCAGTATCGGTTGATGATCAGCAGAGATGCATCATCAGTGGCCTGCCGGCGCTCCAGCTTCTCTATGTGCTCCCGCAGCTCATCCTCGATGGCCTGACGCTGGTCCAGCATCTCTGCGAGCTTCCGGTTCTTGGTTTGCAGAGTCCGGATGTCCAGGTCCTCCTGTGCAGGGAAACGTGGCACACAAGACAGATCACAGACACGTTTTTGTTTCCAGATGAAAAAGAGCAAGAGATTGAGTGGGGGTGTGCAAGAAGGACGTACTGTTGAGGAAACACCACCAAGCTTGATGGTCTCCACCGTGGTCCCTGAATCTTCAACCCTCGCCTTCTTCTCCGGAGGGGCAGAAGGGCCAGGCTCTGCAGCTGCCCGTTTATTGCCAATTCCAGACATGGTAGCTGAAGCAAACAGGTTTCCACCTTCTCCAAATTCTTCCTGAATATGAAAGAACAGTATTGAAAAAATCCCAAACACACACACACATCTAATCAACTCGATTTGTGATTTTTAACAGACCAATCCATTACGGTAACAAGATGCGCAACACAGAACAGATCACGTAACTCTAATGGTTTTGGAAAATTCTTTAGGAAAGGAATGGGTTAAAAGTGGAAGACAGGTGAGGAGGACTGTAGATCACTCAAGAGACCCTGTAGCTGGGAATAAGCCTTGACAGGGTGGTGATCCTCTGGCATGGACCGAGTTTAACAGTGCCACGTCCAGGTGAGGGTATCCAGGTGTTGCTTTGTAGATCCCAAGGTTATCAAGGTAATGGAAATAAATTTACTCTTTGTGTTCTTGCTGTGAGTTTTTGCCTGCCTGTGTTGACTTGCACATTCTGACCAAACATTAAATGGTGAAAGACACCACTAGGATCAGCACTACAAACAGCAAGTTCAAGGGGAAAAAAATCCACTGTTCTGTAATGTTAAATGGAAGCACTGTACCTTTATCACTGTCTTTGGAAAAAAATCTTCATGTAGGTTCAGTTGCTGCTTTTCTGTATTAACAAAAAGTATCAGGGTTAGATTTTAACCAACTGCTGAGACTGTGTATATGTGGCACCAAGTTCACCAAGTTCTCACCTTGGAGATAAGCCCTGTGCTTACAAATCTTATAAATCCTACGGAACTGAAAAACAACTCCCAGTCAAGGCTTGTAAAGACACATTTCAAGAGCTTTCCTGTCTATCGGGAGATGCAGACACATTTGAAGAGAATCTATCCCTAAATTAACACACTCTGAAAAGCTCTGGACTAGTTAAGAGAATCCCAGAACAGCTGAGGCTGGGAGGGATGTCTGGAGGTCACCTGCCCAGTGCTCCTGAAGGAAGTAAGGTCAGTCAAAGCAGGTTGCCAAGGGCCTTGTCCAGGCGGCCTGAGTATCTCCAGGCACAGAAACTCAGCAATGTCTCTGGGCAGCCTATTCTAGCTGAATTACAAGGGCACTGGAGAGGGTGGGGTAACAGCAGTCACTAAAAACATCTCATCTACTGCCAGTCAGTCCAGCAAGCCACTAGTGACCAGTGCTTTTCCTATTTTTTGTCCACAGACAAAGTATCCCTTCCATTGCCTCCTGACACCATCCCTCAAAGCTCCAGTTCCCCTCTCCCCACTTCCTCACACACTGTACACCACAATCCAACCCACTGACTTTTTATTGCCACAGACCCTCTCTCTCATGGAATCCTTTAGATTGGAAAAGATCTCTGAGATCAACAAGTCCAACCTTGACTGATCATCACTTTTTCAGCTACACCATGGCACTAAGTGCCACATCCAGTCTTTCCCTGAATACCTCCAGGGATGGTGACTTCACCACCTCCCTGAGCAGCCCATTCCAATGCTTAACAAGCCCTTCTGCTGCTCACACACACAGAAGAGGTAAAGAACTCTAAGGAGGGATGTACCCTTTTTTAAATGTCACATTTATTTCCTTTTTGATACAGAAGAGCTGTTCTGCTCTGCAAACTAATTGACAAAATAAGCTTTATTTTGATTCTTACGTTGTACTTACTTAAAACAAAAAGGATTTCTGATGACAAGCCCTACAAATTGAAACTCAAATTAGATTTTCTCTTCTCACATACTACCATTTTACACTAAATCTGAAAACCTCAAGGTTTTATTACTTCTGCTACCACCAGCTCTTGCTGCTATAGTACAGAAACTCTATCGCATACATATAAAACCTGATGTACAGACACAGAATCACAGAACTAAAAGCACTGGGCACATGTAAAAGCTGCCATTTGAGTTTATACTCCCCAGCAGGAACTCCAGTCAAGCAATGTTCTGTCCACAAGCCCAAAGGGGACTTGTAGGTAGCCTCCAGGTCTGGCTCAGTAGGAATATCTTAAGGATGGAAGGAGAAAGGGGAAAAACAGCCAACTAACTCCATTGCAAGATCAAATCTAGAGCTCCTTAAAATAACACCTATTTTAAATTTCCGTTCTTTGGGAACTCAACCTTTTTTCTCAGTCACAGGCTATCCACATTATTCCCTCCCCAGATAGACCACACTGATTTATTACAGACTGACTGTCCTCCTGGCGTTCCCCTCCCCTACCACCGGCCTGCTGTGGAAGAGAGATGCGAGAGCTGGGGCTGTTTAGTCTAGAGAGGGGAAGACTGAGAGGGAATCTCTCTAGTGCCAAGAGGATGGTGCCAGACTCTTTTCGATGATGCCTAGCGACAGGATGAGGAGCAATGGTCATAAACTAAAACACAGGAAGTTCCACTCAACATGAGGAAGAACTTCCTTCCACTGACGGTAGCAGAGCATAGAATGGGCTGCCCTGGGAGGGAATGGACTCTCCCTCTCTGGAGATATCCCAAACCCATCTGGACGTGTTCCTGTGTCACCTGCTCCAGGTGATCTTGCCTTGGCAGGAGGATTGAACTGGGTGATCTCCAGAGGTCCCTTCCAACCCTAAAAATTCCATTATTCGAGTTCCCACATGCCCTAGCCGCTCCTACACCCCTGCCGCCCCCCTCCAGTCCGTGGGGACCCCCGCGGTCCTGCCGCTGCCCCCGGGAGCCTCCCACCCCGCCAGACGCACACCCCCCAGTCCTGTCCCTCCCTCCCTCCATGGGCGTGTGGCGTCTCCACCACCGAGCCACTGCCCCTTTCCCCCGCACTGCTACCTCCCGGCTCTCCTCGGACCCCGGCCCGGATCCCGGCCCGCCCTACAGACCCGCCGCAGCACCGCCGCCACCACCTCCTCAAGCCATCCTGCCAGCAATGGCCGCCGCCGACCGCCCCTTCCGGCCGCCATTTCGCCCTCACGCGTGATGGAGGCGCCGCTTTGCCCTCGTCCGACATGGCCGCCGTTGCCATGGCGCCCGACGCCCATGCCCGTACCCGCACCTAAGATGGCGGGAGCGGGTGGTGCCGCCCCGCTCGTGTGAAGGGCCGCCTCCCATCCCCGCCCCTCGCATGGGTGTGCCCCGCTGACACCCCGTGTTCCCCGTGGTGCGTTAAAAGTGTATTATGTGAATTTCTGAATGTTGGCGAAGCATTCTGTGTCAGCAGTACCGTAGCCAGCGGGACTAGGAAAGCGATTCTCCCCTCTGTAGTGGTCACCGGCCAGGCCGCAGTTCAAGTGCTGCGTCCAGTTCTGGTCTCCTCAATTCAGGAAGGACACTGAGGTGCTGGAGCGTGTCTAACGAAGGGAAAGAGAGCTGGAGAAGGGTCTGGAGCACAGGTCTGGTGAGGAGCAGCTGAGGGAGCTGCGGGGGCTCAGCCTGGAGAAAAGGAGACTCAGGGGAGACCTTACTCCCTACAACTCCTTGAAGGGAGAGTGTAGCCAGGCGGGGCTTGGTCTCTTTTCCCAGGTAACAAGTGACCGTATAAGAGGAAACGGCCTCTAGTTGTGCCAGGGGAGGGTTAAGTTGGACATTAGTAGGAATTTCTTCACAGAAAGGGTGATTAGACATTGGAATGGGCTGCCCAGGGAGGTGGTGGAGTAACTGTCCCTGGAGGTGTTTAAGGAAACACTGAACAGGGCACTCAGTTCCATGGTCTCGCTGACGTGGTGTTGGGTCAAAGGGGTCAGTCTCAGAGGTCTTTCCCAACTTAATGATTCTGTGAAGCTGTGAAAATCTATCTGTGTGAAATACATAAACGTACATGCACCACGCAGGCCCAGCTCCAGCTAAGATTGAGCTAGTAGATAATGTAAGTCTAAAGTGAAATTTTAATGGTTTAGGTTTAGTATCTTCATCTCTGCACATCTTTGTAGAAAACCAGGAAAACACCTGCAAACAGCATCAGGCTAACAGGGCTCTGGCTTTATTTGCATTGCTCAGAGAAGCTGAGGATCATAGAATCATAGAATCATAGAATCGATTGGGTTGGAAAAGACCTCCGAGATCATCGAGTCCAACCCTTGGTCCAAATCCAGTCCATTTACTAGATCATGGCACTCAGTGCCACGTCCAATCTGCGTTTAAAAAGCTCCAGGGATGGTGAATCCACCACCTCTCTGGGCAGCCCATTCCAATGCCTGATTACTCTCTCTGTAAAGAATTTTCTCCTGATATCCAACTTAAATTTCCCCTGGCGGAGCTTAAGCCCGTGCCCCCTTGTCCTCTTGCTGAGTGCCCGAGAGAAGAGACCAACCCCCACCTGGCTAGAACTTCCCTTCAGGTAGTTATAGACGGTGATGAGGTCACCTCTGAGCCTCCTCTTCTCCAGGCTAAACAACCCCAGCTCCCTCAGCCTCTCCCCATAGGACTTATGCTCCCGTCCCTTCACCAGCCTTGTTGCTCTTCTCTGGACCCGCTCCAGCACCTCAATATCCTTCCTGAACTGAGGGGCCCAGAACTGAACACAATACTCAAGGTGTGGCCTCACCAACGCAGAGTACAGGGGAAGGATCACTTCCCTGCTCCTGCTGGCCACGCTATTTTTGATACAGTACAAGATCCCATTGGCCTTCTTGGCCACCTGGGCACACTGTTGGCTCATGTTGAGCTTCCTGTCAATTAGTACCCCCAGGTCCCTTTCTGCCTGGCTGCTTTCCAGCCACTCTGTGCCCAGCCTGTAGCGCTGCAGGGGGTTGTGGTGGCCAAAGTGCAGGACCCGGCACTTGGCTTTATTGAACTTCATCCCATTGGAATCAGCCCATCTCTCAAGTCTAGCCAGATCCCTCTGCAGAGCCCTCCTGCCTTCCAGCAGGTCGACACTCCCTCCCAGTTTGGTGTCATCAGCAAATTTGCTGATGATGGACTCAATCCCCTCATCTAAATCATCAATAAAGCTATTAAACAGGACTGGACCCAACACAGACCCCTGGGGAACACCACTGGTGACCGGCTGCCAGCTGGATGCAGCTCCATTCACCAGCACTCTCTGGGCCCGACCCTCCAGCCAGCTCCTAATCCAGGAGAGGGTACACTTGTCCAAGCCATGGGCTACCAGCTTTTCCAGGATGCCCCATCCCTGGAAGTGTCCAAGGCCAGGTTGGACACAGCTTGGAGCAACCTGGGCTAGTGGGAGCTGTCCATGGCAGGGGTTTGGAACTAGAAAAGCTTTAAGGTCTCTTGCAGCCCAAACCGTTCTGTGATTTGATGATTTATTTATTGGTTGAAAGTAGGTTTGTACCTTCAAAGCAGCACAAGTTTTTTGTTTTAATTGCAGGGTTTGCTTTCGTTCAGTTCCATAGCAGCTGTCTCCACTGAAAATGCCAAAATAAAAGTACAGTCCCCCTACTGCAAATCACAATATAATGGGCTGCCATGCCCAAGAGCCATAGACTAGCCCAGTACTACACTACAAGACTTCAGGCTGAGTAAACATTTGAGTTCATGAAGGAAAAATACAGCTTTCCTTGTGAATTTGTTTTCCCCTGTGCAGCTGTCAAGGCGAGCCTGGTGAGCCAGTGAGCTGCTGCAGCTTTGTGAGCAAGTGTGAGAGCAGCTGGGACAGGGAAGTTGACCAGCTTGGCTGAAATCTGTATTTGCAGAGAACTTGTGTCATTAAAAAAACCTGACATAACAGCACTGGAAAGGTGAGTACCTCGGGGATTTCTTAAGAGATTGAATTCAGTGCTCCCCTAGTTAAAAAATAAAAACCACAACAAACAACAAAACATTTGCTAATGCATTTCCCACCAACAGCATTTCCTTGCAGCTGGAGAGCCCTTGACTGAGTAAGAAGTAGTTGGTAAGTGATAGATTCTCAGTTCAGCCAGTTCTTCACCACAGTGTTAGAAACCAAAAGAGCTTTTATGTTGCATCAAATGTACTCCAAATGAAGTCTTAGAGTCAGCATAGCCTTCAGTTCTTGTGTTTTCCCTTCCCTTGCTTTATACTTTTTTTTTCTCCCCTCTATGTATTTTTCTCTGAGATGTGGATCCCATGAAAATTTAGTCCTCTCAGCAAAGCTGTAACTGAAATGGGGATGACCACAACCTTTTATTTAATTTCATGCTTGTGTCTTTTATCTCTGTGCACCTTGGCATTTCCTCCACAGGGAAAGAAAACCCATTTCCTGCAAAGCACTCTTACTCTTGTACATTCTGTCCCATATCTGTCTTAACCACCCACCATGCTTTAGATAAGCATTCAAACTAATCTTTGAGTTGCCCTTCTATACACTGCATATTACATTCCTTAGTGTTTGAGACTGCCCTAAAATGGGACTTAAAAGGGAAAGTTTTAGCAGCAGCTGGATCATAGCGCTATAAAAGAAATGGCTGTGCTTCAGAGTGCCCATGTAGTTTCCCACACAGCCTGCAAACTCGAGACTGAGACCCTTGTTCCCCTCCAGTACAAGGAATATGCTGTTTCCCTTAGTGCTGTTTGTAGATTTACAGTCACTTCCTTGTGAATTGTTATGCAGAGACAACTCAGCAGACAAGGGAAAAAATATAAGCAAAGCAAAATATGAATGCTAAGGAGAGAAGGAGAGGGATTAATGATACTTGTATTAATACTTGAGATACTTTTGTGGAGCAACTAGGAGAGCAAAGCAATCTAATGTCAGTGAAGAGGAACTGCAGCAATTTGCAATTACTTGGAGTATCCTAGGAATATGACAGGTAGCGTTGCTTTTTTTCCTGAAACTGGCAGGTTCAACCAGAGTCCTTCACTTGCAATTGCTATAAGAGAGAGTTAAGCAGTCATTCAAAATTACAGCTAGTTATGAATTCAAATGATGGAAGCAGAGTATTTCCTGGAATGAAAGTGCGCTTGTTTTTAGCATAATCAGAGGAAAACACCAAAGACCCAGAGATGAACTGAGTAAATAAAATTGTGTAGGGAACAGCCTACAAATGAGACAATTTTGAGCTTGTAGTGTTAGTGTGCTCAGGCTGTGACCACAGAAGTACACTCACGTTGATTCTCCTTGTGTAAACAAGACTTGCACAGCCTTTTGACCAGGGTTGTACTAAGCATCACTCCTTACCTATTTCAAATCTCTCTTCCAAATCAAAAGGACATTCAAAAACTCAAATATTGTCTCTTCCTCACGTTATCAGACTAGCAGAATATGCTAAAGTTTGTTATGAAAGCCCAACACTGGCATGAGACGCACCCTCTTCAGTAAAGCGGGATGTTGAGACACAGTGCTGTGAACTGTTTGCATATTACCCAGATGTGCCTGCAGGTATGCAGTTAAATTTAGAAGTCTGGCACACCCAGGATGGTACCTGAAGTGATCTTTCATCCAGCAGAACTGTGCTGCTTCCAAGAGGAAAGGCCACGTGGGAGATAGTGTGGATAGCTGATCTCACTAAAGTCTGTTAGTGAACCCGAGATCGTGGCTAGCAGAAGGCTGTACCCTGTGGGTAGAGAGAAATCCTCTTTTTTGCCAGAAAGTTTATGTGCCTGAAGTCTGCTGAGGAACTACCAGAACACAAATTCCTCCTAAAGATGGGACCAGAAGAGCTTTGGCCCATCGGCTCCAGATGCTGTCAGTGGCAGATTAAGAAGGAGATTGCAGGTTGCACACACAAGGAAAGAGGTCGGACAAATGGACCCAAGGACCTGTGGGATGAAAGGCGGGGGGTGCTGTGCTAGGTACATATTTATTAGGGACAACAGTGGAACTGTATTTAATAACATCAGGGTACTTTATTTAATCATATCCACCCAATGCAATGGGTACATCAGGTCACGCAGAAATGTGTCACTCTACAACATCCTTGATTTAGCCAACAATTGCTGTTTATATCATTTCAGGATGTTACAATTTTCTTGAGAGACAGGCTGACTAAAGAAAATGAGTACACATAAAACTGTAGCCAATGCACTTTAACTGAGTTCTTGCTTTACTGTAGAAAGAAATTGCACTCCTTTTTTTTTTAATTAAAATTAGTTAATTATTGCTTACCTGTTCATCCTACTGTACCATACTAGGGTGCTTATGACACACATCTAGGAAGAGAGACGCAGATCATATTTTGCCCAGGTGCAGGAAAGAAATTCCATTGTCCCCTGACCAGAACTGGTTTGGACAGACATGTTTAAATTGCCTATATATTCTGCACAGAAATTCTCACTTACTTTTTCGTCATGTTATTTCACTAGTTGTCTTCCTCCTGTAGAGAAATACTTAATGCTTTAAGCTAAATGGAGAATATAGGTATGAATTGAAAAGATGACTAAGTGGGTTTATTTTATGGAAAAAATGAAGTCTGTAAAACAAACCTTACCTACTGCCCCTTCCCATTTGTTAATGGGATGGCACTCCCATACTTTTTCCAAATACGAGCTTTCCTCATGATCTAACTATACAGTTAAAGCAGTACCTTAAGTAAGGTCAGTAAGTCATAAATACGATCTCCTGTAAAAAGCCAAAGGCTGTTTGCTGCACCACACACAATGGAAGTGCTGAAGAACCAGACAGTTTGGAGGCACAAAGCAGTACTGGAAGCAGCTCAGTTAAAACACAAGAAGGAGAGGAGAGAAAGAGGGGAAGGGAGTTGCTCTCTCTTGACACCCAGAACATCCTGGCAGGCAATCCAAAAAAAAGAAGGAATCAAATATAGTCACTGAGAAACCCAGACTGAGAAGTCTCAACAGTATTACGAGCGACTGCCTTGCTGCCTCACTGCCCAGTTGCCATAATGATCGTGAGAGAGAAAAAATCCAGGAAATGGAGCCCAGGCTCTACTGTTTTCTTTCTTTCTGGTTTGTTTTTTTTTTTTTTTCTTTTCTGAGCACCATACCATCCTGATTTACTGTCTGTGCAGAGAGGATTTCTGTGTGCAACTGGTCCTAGAAACAGTGCTATGAGGAGTTTCCTGAAAATGAGCCCATGTCTGCTATCCGTAGTTATTTAATTGCAGTAGATCCACTTAAATTTTATAGAGATACTCTTCAGAAATTTCTTGGTACACTGGTAAGCTCTTTACTGTTGCATTACGAGACCAGAGAAAGAAAATGAGCTTTGTCTAAAAATATTAATTACTCATCAGCAGTGAAAATTACAGAATTTGCAAAATAAATTCTAGAGAAATCACTTGCATCTTTATACTAGCCAGCGTAGCTCTTGTAATTATAGCAGGTTATCCTTCTAGATCATGGACTAGTCACACACTTTTATGTCTTTCTTCAGGTAAGGCCAGTGCCCCTAGTTGGCCTCCCAGGACTTGTCTAAATGTAGACATTCCAAAAAAATGTAACCTGGAGGAATTAAAACTATGAACTAAGAGTGAACTATTTTAGTCTCTGTTCTACCATTATGTGGAATGAGAAAAGGTTAATAAAACACTAGCTAAACTGAATTAAAACCTCTTAAATTTCAAATAGCGCTGCCCCTTAGGGATTTGAAGTAGTTTTAAAATAATCATAATTTGATACAATTTTCCTGAGAGTCTTTGTGTAGTTATAACCTTGTATGAGTGATACTCAGACTTTCCAGCTAGACAGGCCATTTCTCTCATGCAGTTATCAGACCTTTAGTTCCAGAAGTGCTCACCTAAAATTTGCAGTGAAAGAGAGCAGAGAAATTACTAACTCTCTGTACCTCTCACACAGGCAGAGAATTTGTTTGTGAAATGTGCCCAGTGACCATACAAAATAATTTTACTACATTCTGAAAGGGAAAACTAAAAGCATTCCTGCAGTCTCTGGGGTCAATTCCTTCTGACTCTCAGCTTGGAAATTTTCTGGTTTGCCTCTTCACCCCATTTTCTTTTTTTTTGCAGCAGTATCTTTTTTTTAGCAAAAAGTCTGTTCCAGACCAGTCTTCTATGTTGCAGAACAGAGCAAGTAACTGAGAGCCAATGTATTTTAAGAGATATTTTGAAGAGCCACTGGACTCTGAGTCTAAATGACAATGTTTGTCCTTCTCTTTGAAATACTCTGCAGTCTGCAAGAGTCAGAATGTTGGAGCAAGACGGGAAGGAAGTTGGATCCCCAGAGCATATGCAACTACACTGACCAAGATACATCCATTTCTCTGTCATCACAGTTAAGTCTTTCTGAAATTCCATCATCATTTAACACATCACCATGTTGGCTCACACTAGTATATTTTTAGCCCTACCAAATGATTTGATCAGAGAAGCAAAGGAAGCATAGAAAAGCTTTGTGGGTGTGCCCAGTACTCTCTAAAGTGAACTAGACTACAGTAAGTGTTTCTGTCATCTTCAGATGTGTGCAGTGTGGGTAGAAAAGGTTACAGGAATAGTAATAATTTACCTGCAAGATGAATTAGTTATTAGAATATGCCTGAAAAGTCTTGGATGCAGTTGTATGTAGGAGACTCTATAGAGGGAAGGCCTGGGAAACACATGAACAGTGCTTAGTCCTGAAGAAATAACCAAATGCACAGACCAGGATGAAAAGGAGATCATAGTATTTTAGCCTTTTTAGAGAACATTAACTTACCCTAGACAGCTAAGCCAGCATGAGTCCATCCCCAGTGGAGCTGTGTTTCCTTTAACTACTGTTGTCTAAAGTTAAACACAATAGCCTTGACATATAAGGCCATAATGTCTCCAGTGAACAGCAAAGGACTTTGAACACTTTTTGTCCCCAGTGACCAATACTGAGTCTGAAAGAAAAAAAGATAAAGCCACTTTATGTAATTTATCATCAGTATTGTATTTCTATTCAAAATACGCATTAGAAATGTCTGCTGCTTCTTAAAGAAACAGAATATAAGCAGGAAATATTTATTGATTTACTGGGAGGGGAGAGGTTTCCTCCTATAAAACCTTAGTAAGGAAAGAAAAGTATTTTAAAATTTAGCTTTTGAAATGAACAGCAGATACCTACAAGAACAACATATCTATTGTGCAGCTGACAGTACAGGAATAACCAAGTAATTTTTATCATCTGGTATCTGTACATAAAGGAATAGTACTGTCACTAGAGAACTTCTCAGAGTGTTTGTGGAGGAGGCACAGCCTTTACAGGTTATGTGCATACTGGTACAACAAGTTATGCTAAACACGTTATTCCTTCCTCCTGCTAGAATGCAGTCACTTTGGATTTTTACCTAAGGAGATCAGGCTTGCAAAACGTTTTGGTTTTTTCTACTTCTGTTCTTTTTTTCCTTCTTTCTGTCTTTTGACAGATTCCTTCCTGCCCCTAATAAATGTTGAACACACTTCTCAAATTTCATTGCAACTGGCTGAAGGAAGCAAGTCTCAAACAAGTTTGCTGCCATGTCCTTCATGCAGCCTTTTGCAGAGCAGAGAGATGAACATCTCCATCCTTCTGGGTGCGAGCCTTCAGCTCACTCTGAACAGGAAGCTTTTGTTTGATTTGCTGGCTGGATAATCAGAACATGCAGCTCAAAGTCAGCTGGAGTGTGCACACCCTCATGCCCTGGCCTCGGGGTGAAAACATGAAGCAGTAGAACTACTGTGTGGGAGGAAAGCTAAGGAATCAGGAGCGGGCAAGGAACATGAGACAGGAGTAAGGATATTTTGACAGTGATGCACAGGGCACAAATATCTCAACTCCATAAGAAACGAGGCTTCTCAGTTCAGCAGCCCCCAAGACCGTGAATTTCTGCTGTGCCTGCACATTGTGCAAGTATCTAAATATCACCTGCCTAGCTGGTCCTGCCTCTCACACTCCTGTTTATGAAAAGCAGGAGCTGTACTTGATCTCAGGCAAAGCACAACAAAATATTATCCCCATTCCCTTGCACAAATGCTCAGTGCCATCAAGGCTGTCAGAGTGGATAGCAAAGGGGAAAGGTGCTTTGGCAACAGAAAATACTCAAATCTGAACAGCTGGGCTGAACCTTCACTAAAGGTTAGATAAATCCTCACCACAAGATTTTTTTCTGGTTATAGTTTTTAAGTCCTATCCTATTATTGTACAGGCTGAATAATTTCATAAGTTACTATTTTTCTGAGCATTTCAGGTTGCAGTTGGGTTACTGCACAAGCAGTCTTGTCCCCACATGTTAATCTCTGTTTTCCCTCCCTGCTATGCTGACATAGTCATATGGTGTGGGGAGCTGATGAGATAAAGTGACTTGGCCAAGAAATAATCCACAATAAGATTGTTTTTTCAGCCAGATCTGTCTCCCTTATGCTCATGCACAGCAGGACACAGCACCATGATAAGAATGGAGTAGTCAGGAATGACAGGCTTCCACTGTTGTTCTGTGCCACAGCCCTCAGATCACTTGAGGCTCTTCCCACTCAGTCTTTTGGGTCCAACAGAAGCGGTTTTAAAGAACTAATGTTTAAGGATGAAAGTCAAGTGTTCCCTGAAGAGTGTGCAAGTGACTAAAGTGAGAGCAGGGAAGCCTGTACAGAAATCACACAAAAAATTACACAAAATTTCAGTTACTTAACTGTTTATTCCCAAAGAAGAGGCACTCTGGCCCATTCTTTTTCATTTATTATCCCAAATTGTTCTGCTGGCTGAAACACCATCTGAAATGTAGTACTGGGTGCAATGGGACATGTTTCTGCTGATGTTGCTCAATAGTCACTTTCCCATTTGCTCACTGACACAGAAGTGGAAAAAAATATTTTTTTTCCTCACAAATTCTGCAACTCTAATCCTGAGAAGAACATAGTAATGGACCTCTTAGGAATGTATGCTCTCTGTCCCACCCCTAGTACTTTCACACACCCTTCTTTCTCTGTTCTGTTTCAGGATTTGTTGTTTTTCCAATGCATCAACTTTTGAAGGCATGAGAGCATTTAAGTGGAAGGTAAAGTATGAATCACTGTCATTAAAAACAGAAAAAGAGGCAGAGGTAGCAAAGAAGGATTTTGGAAAGCAAATCACCTGAGAAACTGTGATTTCTTCTACTGTCTTGCCTCATTATTTTCAGAGAACAACATCCATCTAAGTAAACTGGGGGACCTTTTCCTAGGAAGTCACTATAGGAACCCAACTGTGATGCTCGATTGCGTTGTTCATTATGAGCATTACTGTTCCTCAGTTTTCCCCCCTCTTCTTCCACATTGTTTCTGCAAGAAGTCTTAGCTGTGAGATGGCTTTCGCCAGTACTAAAAATAAGGATCACAGTCATGGACATCTGAGTTCCTTTGTTCATCATGCTTATTAGAAAGGATGATAGAAATTGCTATGCTAAAATTAAAAACATACCTCATGCTGGAAACTTCTGATTACAGAACTGGGCACTAGCAAAATTCTAGCTGTGCTAGAATGGTGTTTTACTGAAACAACCTAAGGGATCTTTTTTCTTGGTGGTTGGTTTTTGTTTGTCCCCACAGATTTTTCTTAGACCTACAAGAGGTCAGAGCCCAAATACATGGACTTGCATTTCCTGGAGCTGCAGGCACAAAACTACGAAGTTTTTATAATGAAAGACGGAAAACTTTATGTGAGGTATATTTCAGGTGACTGTAGTTAATTAGGTATTACGGTCACAGGGCTCAAAAGTGTGTGTAGAACAGGGAAGTGGAACATGGAGAGGAGGAGGACAGGTGGGGGAGGGGAATAAACACGTCAGTGGGAGTTTTGGATCAGTTTGGTAAAATGTTTGAATCCTGAACAGCCTGACACAAATTTGGTGTAGCTAACGAGACTCCTCGCTTGACCTATGAGGAAGTTACAGACTGAGACAGTGAAAGTTTCGTGTTTCCACCTGTGACGCTTGACACGCACATAAAGAACCAGCCGGTGACTCGTAACATTGACTTTCCACTCGAGCTTGTGGGGTCCCGGTGATCTTCCCCGCCCCAGAGTGAGGCAGGAGGTCCAGAGCATCTACCAGGTCCCGGCTGGGGAGGGCGATGCGGGTGCCGGCGGGGACACTCGGCAGAGGGGACAGAGGTTGACACCCGGCAGAGATTACTCCTGGTTGGGGACGGGCTGCGGGAACTGCGCTGCCCATGCGGGAGTCCCGCCGATGGCGATGGAGCATTCGGGGACCGCCGAGCAGGAATGAGCAGCTCCGGCTGCGCTGCCGTCTCCACACCGGGCATCCTCCCGGGGCTCGGGCAACTCGCCTTTTGCTCCTGAACCTGCATTCACTGGGCCAGTCCCGTCCCCGGTTTTCGGTAACCCGCTGCGGCCATCTCCCCTTCCCCTCCTTTAAGCGTCCCTGTGCCGGCGGAGTCACATGTTTGGTCTTTGATGCCTTTAATCCCACCCTCACCGCGCGAGAGGGAGGAGAGAAATTCGCGGAAAAGCAGTGAGCCACCAGCCCAGTGCCAAGATAGCGGCGAGAGCGGAGCTGCGAGCTGGAGGGAGGCGGGAGCGGCGATACGGGGCTGCTCCCTGCGGATCGGGTAAATCTCCCCGGCAGGATCGGGCTGTCCTGGGGGTTTGGCTTTCAGGGGTAAAGGGGCGGCCGCACCGAGGCTGGGGGGAGCAGGGAAAGGGGGGGGGGGGGCACGAAGTTGCCGGCTTACGAGCAATGGGGAAGGGCGTGATCTGCGGGAACCGGCGGGGCTGAGCTGCAGTGGCTGCGGCACCGGAGCCAGCAGGGCAGGGAAAAGTGTCCAGTGATCGAGATCTGTTTGTGATTGCTCCGGGGATGTGACTGTACATGGTGATGAGCAGGAGGGCTGGTGGTCAGAGCCTGGCTGGGCCTAAATAAACGGCCCTTCCGTTAGGGAAGGTTGGTAGAACTCTTAAGGAAAGAGGAATAAACCCAGCCGGCTCCTGCCCCCTGCTTGGTGCCACTCAGACCCTCAGCCGAGGTAGAAGCGTGGCCAGAATTTCCCTGGTCAAAAGCCTGGGCAAGGGGGCTGAAGACGGGCACACTGAAGTGCCATGTGCGTGTCCTGCCTGGCAAGGAGGGCAGAGAGTGGAGGTGGGATCAGCTTTTCTTATCTACCGCCCTCTCCTCTTTGACCATCACCACTGAGGTAACTGCTATTAATCCCAGTGCTTTAAGGGTCACCTTGTGCTACCTGCCAGCTCTCCCGATGGGAATGAGGAGCACCTAAGAAACCTGACGGTGGAAGTCACTGACTTAAAATCTGATTTAAAATCAAAGGCTGTTTAGGAAATTTGCAGGTGCTGATGGTGCAGCAAAACATGAAACTATACCCGTGTACACTGCAGATTCATAGGCTGGCTTGCTCTCATACAGTCACTGAGAAAATCATTTCATAGAGGTACATCAGGTTCAGCAAGCAATTGCAAGCACAAAAGCCAGGATAAACACCCTCTTGTACATGGGAAATCTGCTGCTTGCTTGTCTGTCCAACAAGGGCAACACTAATTATACTACACATTATTTATCAGCTACTGCATTTATCACATCTTCCTCCTTTGGGACTCAAGCAGATCACCAGTATCCCAGAGAACCAGGGTATCCCATTTACCAAGCCTTATGCAGGATAAATAGTCTGTTTCATACATTGCAGGGGGAGGGGAGGAAGACTGTGTATTCATCAGGCATAGGTGGTGAATACAGAGGAAAAGTCGGTAGATTAACATTTAGCGGAGAGTGTCTCTTAAAAGAGGAATGTTTTTTGTCAATATGACTAAACATTTTTTCTTTCAGACAAAGGTTAGAGTCAATGTTCTGGTTGTTGCCTGGTACAGTTTTGCATTTTGATTGTTACATGACCTGTCCCAAGTGGAAACTTACAGCCTTATTATCAAAGGCCTTTGCTCACAAAGCATTTCCTTATTACTGTGCTTTATTCTTTACAGTCATAAATGAACAACAGTAAAGGTGCCACATCTTTTGTGTTAGCAGCCATCACCACATCTATTTCGTCTTCCCCTTTCCCCCGCTTATACACCCACAGCTCTACTGTTGTAGGTGAATTTTTAAGGGAAGTCATCATTGTGGGGATAATAAAAGGGTTTTATTAATGATTAAATGATAGTCAAATGGTAATTAATCAATTATTTAATGATAATGAAATGATAAATGATTAAGCAGTAATTGAATGATAATTTAATCACAGTTTAACAATGATTTAACAATAATAAAAAGCTCTAATTAAATGGTAATTGAACAATGATGTAGTTGATGATTTCAACAATTATTTAAATAATGATTATACTTTGCTACGTATTCCACTTCTAAAGCTATAGCCGGACATATAAATGTCACTAACATACAATACAGTTTTAGGCTTAATGCAAAATGTTCTTACCCCATTATAGATATCAGATTCCAGGTAAGGGGGTCTCTGGTCCTCAGGAAGTAACCTTGAGCTATGTTCCTGCTCACAGGGAGATCACCACCATGCCATCCAGGAGAGCTCCCTGGGCTCACAGGGGCTACAGGTATCTACAGCCTGCAGTGACTGACTTGTAGTCACCCCAGTTTGGTGTTCATGCAGGAGTGCAGCTGTAAGAAGTTTTAGTTTTGTCTAGTCCCCACTCAGGCTGGTACTGTTTGCTCTTGATAAGACATGAATTCCTGAGAGAACAGGGCCTAGCACAGTCACAGAGCAGGTAACTTTGGAAGGGCCCACAGTGGGTCATCCAGTCCAAACTCACTGTTGCAGGGTCATCCCAGAGAACATTGCACAGGATTGTGTCCAGACAGTTCTGAAATATCTCCAGTGAGGGCGACTCTCCAGTCTCTCCGGGAAACCTGTTCCAGTGCACTGTCACTTACAAGAAGTTCTTCCGTAGATTTTGGTGGATCATCTGGGCATCAGTTTCTACCTGTTGCCTCTTGTACCCTTGCTGGGCACCCCGGAGCAGATCCTGGTCCATCCTCTGACCCCTCCCTGCAGACACTGACAGACATTGATGAGGTCCCCTCTCAGCCATCTCTTCTCAACACTGAGCAGGCCCAGCTCCTGCTCAGCCTTTCCTCATAAGAGAAATGCTCCAGTCTCTTAATCATCTTCTGGAGCACAGGTAGTTTTTTCACTAGTCTTTCCAGTCAACGGGAAGGGGGTTTGAAAACACCAACCTGTTGAATTTGGCAAATCATTAAATGGTTACAGGACTGGTGCCACAGCCAGGGGTTCAGCTTAGACTGTAGGACTCGCTTTGAGAAACCCAGTCTGCTGAGGTCTGCTGGGGTCCCCAGCAGGGAGGGGAAGAGCATCTTTGGCAACAGGCTTGCCAAGTTGGTGAGGGCTTTAATTTAAAGTTGCTGGGGGAGGAGAACCTCAACCCATCCCAATCCTATCAGTTTAAAGCCAAGCTTGCAAGAGATGCCCAGAATGGGATCACAGGTAAGCAGGAAAGCCCCTGAGTGGCAGCACAAAGAAATTCCAGGCACTCCAGCCAGTCCTTGGCCTTCATCAGAGCCCAACTCAACTGCCTCTGCGCAAAGATATGGGCAACGGACAAGGGGAGTTAGAGAGTTACACTCACCTGCAGGGCTGTGATCTTACTGGCAAAGTGGTGGGATGGCTCGTGACACTGCAGTGTTGGAATGGAAGGACACAGGCTCTTTAGGAAGGGGAGGTGGGAAAATGAGGAGTGGGGGGTCATGCCCTGTGTCAATGACCAGCTGTGCCTGGGGATGGATGAGGAGCTGACCAAAGGTGACAAATTAGGAATAAGGGAGAGCAGGGACGGGTGAATTTATTAAGTTCTGTTCCAGGCCACCCTACCAGGAAGACTGAGTGGACAAGGCCCTCTGTAGACTATAGAATGCTAATTTTTCATGACAGGAAAACCAGGCTGATATGCTACATGAGAAAAACAGATTCCCTCCTATCTTTTATATTCTTCAGCTGAAGATCCACTAAGGCAGCAATTGCCTCTTGTGTTTGTGTGCAGTATGCCCTGCAGCATGCAGGGGCCCTAGTTTTATTCTAGCAAAAGGCTATGACACAAGGAGTTAAATGCAAATTATCTATATCATCTCTGATGAGTCAATGCACATTTAGCTCTGAGATTCTAAGAGCAGACAGCAAAAGGTAGAAAGCTGATACCATTATTAGCAGCAATATTGTTTAAGATAATTTTTGTTGTTTTGTTTTTGTTTTTTTAATAGTCTTACATTTTATACTACAGCAAACATTTAAAATTTTGTAGACCTTCATGAAAAAACACAGCAGTTTTTAGACATCTTTTATCAAATTCCCTAACATACCCTTTTTTTTACCTCTGGCACAAAAGAAAAATGTAACTCCAGACAGATATGGATTGTGTAATTAATTTTAAAACCACATAAACCTTTGCGTCATCTTCTAAAAGACAGCTCCTCACAAACCTTAAGTCTATCTGTTTAGCTATTATCTTGCAGAACTCTCTTCACCAGGCTGCTTTCCATTCCCACTTGATCTGATCTACTTTACTGACTGGTAGCAACACAGAAGAACATTGCACTGCAGGCAGGCTGCCAGGTAAAAGTCAGCAGCTGTTGAGAATGGGCTCCCTTAAGGTTTATATGGCAGAGGAAAATTAATATACATGAGAAGCAAGATGGAAATTGGGGAAATAATTGTAATTAATATATATCCAGTTCATAGCCTCTTTCACTGGTGGCATAGTTTTATCCTGTTAGTTCAAATGAAATGGAGAAAGTATCATCCAGCTGCCACATCCACATACCTCGTTTCTTAGTTCAGTAGCCAGTAAAATAGAATCAAAAAAACAATAGCTGATCTCTTACCACTAAGGTCCTGCTGATTGTTTTTAAAGCACAGCTCCTTTTGTTTTCTAGGGAGCCCAACTCCCAGTTTGGCATCTAAATGTAATGGTCAGATCTGTAGGTGCTTGGCTTTTACTGGACACTGCTGTCGTCAAGGCAGGCCTGACACATTGCAGAAATATTGTCTGGCACCTGACCTACTAAAAGCTGTCAGAAAACAAGGGGAATTGCAGATGAGAAAAGCTGGCCATCTGGCCCAATAATAGGGATCAGCTCATGGTAGGGACTTCAGGTTTCAGAATTTGAGGATATCTGTGCACCACGTACAGCTGTCAGCATGCATATAGGGAACAGGAGGAGATCTGTGTGGCTCTTTGTGAAGACTGTATCAGTTTCCTCAGATTCAAGCAAGATTGTCACAGCAAGACAAAGGCCCTGTCTCTGCCAGAGGGAGTTAATGAGTAGAGATCTGGGTCCTGAGCTTGCAGCTGGTCCGTGTGATCTTAGGCTGGGGCACAGAAGTGTTTTCCACACAAAGGTTTCAACTTGAGATGCTGCTATAGGATCAATACACAATTGAAAACTACAGCTCGTATGAACACCTTTACTTCTGCCACTGCTGTGGCTCAGGTGGGGACTGCGACTGCCAAACTTTCTGTGATATTTTCCATGCCTTTGTTTCTCACAGAGACAACCCCGTAGCTTCTGACCCCACAACTTCATTCAGCTGTTTCTGTGGTAGGAAAGGAACATCTTTTCCCATTGACACTGAGAAGTGTAGATAGGCGAAAAGGAATCATTTAATATTGTAATTGTAAAGGAATAGTTGTGTCCTTGTCTCATGGAGCAGGGAGTAGAAGGCAGATGCCCTCTCTTACATTAGCTAATCAGGAACCTAAAATTTTTGATGCTTTGAAACATGTAGGAAACTTTTTGCCTGCCTGTGGGAATACCTCTGAGGAGAGGAATTTGGACCAGATGGAAAATCAGCTTTCTCTCAAAGCATGAACACAGCAGACGGTGTTCTGCACCCCAAAGAGGATATTACTCATTTTTCTACTCTCCCTCATTTGTGCAGAAGTGACTTTTTCCTGAACAGTGTAATTCAGCCAAGGATTTAAGGGACTAGTGAAGCTAGGAACATAGATTTGGAGTCAGGTGTTTGTGGAAGGAATCTTCATCACGAGGATCTAAGAAAAGGAACAAGCAACTTCTGTAGCTTTATATCACCACAACTTCTAGATATGTTTAAGCAATGGCTCAGCTCTACACAGAACGTGTATAAAGCCGATCTCCACTGCAAGTATTTATATGTTTGCAAAGTAATTGCTACTCAGGTTTAATATAGTGGGATTTCTTAAAGCACTATAAAATCCAATTCTGATTCTTGATTTTTCCCTCAGACTTCATTTTTTTTCTGTCTGAAATGCCTTAAAGAAAAATAAGATTTTTTTTTCCCCCTAGAAAGGGAAGAAGATGAAAATGACTGTACCAACAGTTTCTGAAAACAGAGTGGCTTCTGTGAAGTCAGAACCATCCTAAAGGATAGAAAACAGCCTGAACAGAAACTCTGATTCAAATCCTGTGGATAAGATGAAACTTCACCTCTGCAGAAGTAAGACATTTTTTATCTATATGGGAATTCTCAAGTTCCCAGTCTCACAGACAGAACGTGGGAAGGAGGACAGTGTCTTCCCTCTTTTCGAGATCCTTCAGCTTGGTTTTTACATGAATTGCAAAAATTTGACCGGATTTAATATGCTCCTGACCATTTTTAACCTCTGTGGTTATTTCACTGCCCAGGGAAAACAGCCTTTTCCTCTACAAATACACTAAGAGTGTGGCAGTCAGTGTGACTGCAAACAGCCCAGGCAGCAGAGGAAGACTGAAAGAGTTCCAGAAGTGTGTGTGTGATTGTTGTTTTCCTTGAGGCTCTCTGAGTTGCAGAACCAGGATAAGAGTTCTGAGATCCTGAGTTCAGTTACTGATGAGGTGAAGCCAGGGTTAAATCATAAATTCTTGTGACTGTGGCTGACTTCCAGTCCCCTTTTCCAGGGGCAGCTACTTCCTTGTGTGAAGCAGGAGATACCTCCAGAGATGGTGATGCTCCCCTGCACCACCTCACCCACCCTGTCCCGAGCCAGGAGCTGGGACACCAGCAGATGGAGTCCCAGCACCACTTTCCCAACAGGAAGGGTGGGTGGAGAAGGGACTGTTGGGCTTCAGACTCTGTGTGAGTCCCCCTGCGGGGGCCTGGGAGTCACCTTCAGGTGAGCCTCACCCTTAAAAAACACAGGCTGCAGAAGAGCAGGACCTCAGGTGAAAATCTGTTTGATTCATCTCATGAGGCTGCAGCTCCTCCAGTTCTGCTGGCCACCAGGGAAGACAGGACACCCCTTCTTCACTCTTCAGTAGAAGATGGTATGAGGGAAGGAGGCCTCCTTGAGTGATTTCGCTTAGAAGGAACCTTAAAGACCAGCTAGTTCTAAGCCCTCCAGTGAGGGATGCCACTCACTAGACCAGGTTGCTCGGAGAATTATTAATTAAAAAATGCTCAAAGAATTATTAATGTATATTCATATATTCAGTGTATATCCCAAGAGCTCACTGCTGTCTCACAGTTTTTTTATCTCAGATCTTTCGCATAGCTGGCAGGTGGAAAGTAAACTTCTTTACTTCCGAGAACTAAACTACCTTCTAGCTTTTCTTCATCTCCTTTTCCCAGTGTGGTCCTCACTTTCACATTTGGAGTCTGTCTCAGATACAGTGCCCACAGTGATGCTCATATCAAGAGGAGACTTAGCAGTACGCCAGTGTGAGTTGTAGAATATGATTCTGCATTTGTGTCTTTCCTTAATGCATGTGACAGGTTAGCTGGAAAGCCCAGGACTTTGGATGAATAAATGGATTTAAATGCCAGGTCTTTGCATCTGATAGATTTCAGGTCTTCATGTCCTGAATCCTCATGACTTGGATTTCACAGCTGAAAGGCAGCCATCACCTTTAAGGCCTTTACGAGGTCCACTGGTACAATGCAATGCAGTGTCTGTGAAACAGGATTGTTTCACAATTGTTTCAAAAAGAAAAAAAAGCTATATGGGTGCAGATTCTCATGCATCAACATGTAAATTTGTTATTCCTATTTAATTACTCTAAATCTTTTCTTGAATCATAAGAGAGCACAACACTGACACCACAGTCTATTTAAGGATGCCTGTTCTCTATCAAATATTTGGAATAACTCCTGTATATTTTCCATTAATCTTGTTAAAAGGCCTTTCATAGAATGTTGTCACATTCCCATATGGCAATAGGAAAAGGTTCTCTGAATCATAAAACCAGCAAATCTGTGACTACAGTAATGAAGGCAGTTTTGAAGTTCCCCCAGTCAGATCCTGATCTGTCTCCTCCAAGTCATTTCTTGTACAAGATCCGTTTTTCTGAGACAGAAGAGAAAAGCCATGATTTCTTTCTACCCACCCAACATTGCTTAAGCTCCTTCAGATGACAGTGCAGAGGAGAACAAAGAATAACATTTTGGTCTAGGAGCACCACTTGATGATCAGAACTTGCTGAAGGCAAAAGGTAAAAGTCGGAGAAGCTCTCCACTGAAGACCCAGTGCACTCTGTCAGCTCGGTGGGGGGGTATGGATAACTCAGTTCAGAAGGAGAGGGAATAGAAATTAAAGGGAGAATGAAACAGCAGATTAAAAAGGGAGATTAGTGGCACAACAGAATTTATCTGAACAGCCTAATTACCCTGATTTTGTGTAAGCTTCTGACAGCCAGGCTGTCAGGTGTTCATGGCAGCCAGAGAAACAGAACAGAAAAGCCAAATGTGGCAAACTCTTAACTTTTGCAAAGGTAGATGTTTATTTAAAGTGTGTATCTGTACAAAAAATTTATATATTTATATGAATGTTTCAGTTTTAAATAAGAGGCATATACTTTTAAATAGCAAACTTTTAAATAAGAAATATGAGTCAGTGGCTCAATTGCAACATCTTGCTGTGCCTGTAGCAAGCCAGGGTGTAGCAAGCCAGGGTGTAGCAAGGAGGAGACATCTGAAAGAGACAGACAGGCACACAGGCACACACATTACACTTAGCATGTACATGGGCCCTTGGTGAAGTAAATTGGTGTCTTTGTTATCTGGCTTCACACTCCAGGGAGGAAAGTGAAAAAGCAGGCGCTTGTAAGTGTGTGAGCAACAGAAGGGAAGCATGTGTCATTCCAGAGATGTAAAAGTTTGTCTCTCAAATACATGCTAGGCTAAGACACAAGGGGTTTGGCTGTAGTTCTTGGCTGTAACACACATCTTACTGTGTCACTGTGACCAGAAAGTGGTATCTAAGTTCTCTGCCTTTAACAGGAAAGGATTTCCACACATCCTCCATTCACACTGTCTGTTGTTACGAGTTTGAAGCACAGTAACAAACACAACCAAGTCCTATCGAGCTAAGTTGGATCAGAGCTCCTACATGATGAAAAGGCCTTAGGGGCACTTTGCTGGAAACTAAGTTTGGCTCATCTATCCTAAACCTTCCAGGACTATTCTGTGATGCCCCCACCACAGGGGACTTCTAAAGGGCTGCGTATTTTGGCTTACTTAGTGACTAACCCCCTGCTTTCCATTTTCTCTGTCAGTTCCTATTTCAGTAACCATCATTTTTCTTCCTTTCTAGGCTTGGACAACTTGTGCAGGTTTGGCAGCCACTGCCCCAGTGATATCTTGCTATCCAGGGAGGAGCATGCACTGGAACTGAAGGATTGAGGGATGAACAGCACAGGAGTGCCCTCCTTCTGCAGCAGTTATGTTACACCAAGCCTGGCAGCTCTGTGGGAGGTGGTGCCGCTGGTCCAGCTCTGTTGTCCATCTTATCATGCTGACTGTGATGACGTTCGGGGTGGTTGCCCCTTTGATTTGCCACCGGCTCCTCCACTCCTATTTCTATTTGCGGCGCTGGCACCTGAACCCCATGAGCCAGGAGTTCCTGGAGCACAACCAGCAGGAGGGACAGGATGCCCTCCATTACTTTGAGAAGATGCAGATACCAAATGCCTCTGAGGCCTCTGGCAGTGATGCCTTCCAGCCCTTGCTGCTGATCACCATTATCACTGTGCAGAGGCGGTATGATTTCCACTACGTCCTGCAAGTGGCCTCCCGCTTCCACCGCCTCCTCCAGGAATGTGGTGCACACTGCCGGAGCCACCGCGTGCTCCTCTGCAACGTGGAGTCAGACCCCAGTAGCCATCAGGATGTCAGATTGCTGAGCAGCTTCTTTCCTATGGTCAGTCGTGACAGAACTGGAGAGAACCCTGACCCCAGAGTGAACCAGTTTGAGAAGGAGAAACAGGACTATGTCTTCTGCCTTGAGCAGTCCCTGTTATCATACAACCCACAGTACATCCTTATAGTGGAAGATGATGCTGTGCCAGAGAAAGAGATATTCTCTGTCCTGCAGCACCTCTTCTTGGCCCGGTTCTCCAAACCATATCTCAGAGATGCTCTTTACTTCAAGCTCTACCATCCTGAGCGGCTCCAGCACTACTTCAACCCGGAGCCCATGAGGATCCTGGAGTGGTTGGGCCTGGGCATGTTGCTGGGGCCGGTGCTGAGCTGTGTGTACTCATGGGCACTGGGGCGGCCCAGCCCCAGCTGGCTGCTCGTGCTGTTCTTTGCTCTGTACAGCATGGCCCTGTCGGAGCTGGTGGGGCGGCACTACCTGCTGGAGCTGCGCCGCCTGCACCCCGCGCTCTACAACGTGGTGCCAGTCACCGAGTGCTGCACCCCAGCTATGCTCTTCCCGGCTCCCTCTGCCCGGCGTGCCTTAGGTTACCTGCAGGGGCTGCACTGCCGGCAGGGATTTGCTAAGGACACTGCCCTCTACTCCCTGCTGTGGGCCAAGGGGGAGAACGCCTATGTGGTGGAACCCAATCTGGTCCGGCATGTGGGAATGTATTCCAGCCTCCGGCTGAACAGCAGCCCGAAGCTGCTGTGATCTGTGCATGCCTTTCCAGACGCAAAAGCCAGGGAACTTGCCACCGGGCAGAAGGGAAGTGTGCAAACTGGGATATTGTGCTGCTTGCACCGGGCTTCCTGTGCCTCCAAATGGACAAAGAATAACTCTCTTTAAAAAAAACCAAAACACAAAGGTCCTTAAGAAAATCAGCTTATATACATATAGATCCTATTTAATATATACCATGCATCACCTGGGAGGGGAGTGGATGATCCCAGCAGAAGGTGTGGGTTGCCCACTCTCCTTAACTGTTCTTAAAGAAAAGCTCTCACACCAACATGCACAGCTATCCTGCCTACTCTTCTGTACACTGATTACAAAATTTGCCTTAGGGCAACAGAAATGTGGGACAAAATGAATGTTTTAAATTTAAGCTAATGAGGAAGGGCAGGCCTTATTTCCTCATCCTTACTAAGGTCTGATCTCTGACCTCTGTCTGTTTCAAAGCTGTGGTTTTGAGCAGACCCTTCAAAAGCAGAGGTGGTTTACGGGAACTTCCCCGCAAATTCTGTCTGGATGCTTATAGTTTTATGAAGCCTCTATTAGTTACTGTTTCCCCCTGCAGATCCTATCTGCACCTCCACCCTTCCCATTCTTTTTGTTCAGACCAGAGGCTCTTAAAAATAAAGCCTCTGCTGCTCCATTAATTGTCAACTCTGAGGGTAGGAATAGGAAAACAGAATCGCATCCATTGGTGTTGCACAGACGGGTCACAAATGCACATTTTCGTTGATACACGACAGATGTTAATACACATAACAGGATTGATTCCTGTGCTGGTTGGTTTCATCACTAGTTGTAGTGAATCTAGCTCATTAAAGGAGGTCTTATCAGTCACTGATTGAACTTAGGTATTCAAGATTAATTTACCTTGCCTTCCTACCAGCACAGAGGCAAAGGAAAGATTAGATCAGGTGCTGCTGTTGTGCAGGATCCTTGTTCATTTTGGAGCTGTAATTCCCATCTCGGCCTGAGTGGTGCATTCACTGCTCCTGGCAGGAAGCAAAACACCTGCTATCTGTTATCTCTTCACAAAGACAGTTACCAATAGCACAGTACATCAAGAGGCCACTCTAATAGTGACCCATTAACTTTGTGTGCCCTGGTTGTTAGGCATTTGGATAGGTACTTTGTACCAGGGAGGTGGGCATGGTTAAATATAAAACCATGCAAGTGACAAAAGATCTCATACAGATTGAAAACAGGCAAAAACTGTTTATATCTAATGAAAAGCCCACCTTGGCTATAGTGGGCTTTGAATCAAATTCCACTTATATGTGGAATTTGGTTGAACTGCTTTTAAAACCTCATTCCTAGCTTTAGAGTGAACCACAGACAATATTTTTGTTGAGTTTAGTTGTTTGGGTTTTTTTATTTTGGTGATGGAAGAGCTCTGCTTTGAATTTTCTTCCTGCAGGTCTCTCCTAGGTGATTTATGCCTTAACAGGTCTGCTTATAGGTGTGAAAGACTTAAAACTCCTGAGAAATGAAACCAAAGAAAATATCTGTCAGGACACTGTGGGTACCAGTTACATAACACAAACACATAGTGCAGGTTAGCACAGAAATGGCATCAGAGCAGTGCTTTGCTCTCCCAATAATCAGATGGAATACTTTTAGGACAGCTTTGGAAATCAGAGGTAAGTAAAAACTGCTGGTGGATTTCATGTCATTCCAAAGGCAAAGCACCTCTCCTGCCAGAGGACGCTGGAAAAATGGCACAGGCAAAATTTCCAACTGCTGAAAACCCCGAGGATACCAAGGCAGATGGGCAAACCTCTTCTCAGGCTTTACACAGGGTCAGGATGACAGGATTTGAGTGTTGTCGTGTATTTATTTCACTAAGTGCCTGCATATGCAACTTGTTTCTGCATCTTCAGCTTTGAATGTTTCACTGCTGACACTCTTTTTCTCTTCACTCTTTTATATCTTTATGCTATACAAATCCAGGACAGTGCCCTGTTTTTTTCATGAGGGCCCATTCATATTCATTCTTGCAAAGATCTCACAGTAATGTACAATAAATGGGTCAGGGAATGAAAAAAGGAGGAGGGAAAAGAAACCAATTAACTATATACAGTTACTAAATGTTTTCATATGGAGAAATTATTTATCCATTTGTCTCAAAAGTTATTTTCCTTGTTTGTCCGGTAGTACTTTGTCATCCCAAAAGTCCAGGGGAGGTCAATAATTTCACTGAGCCTCAGAGCTGAAAATTGAGAACACAAATTTGAGGCATCCCTTCTAAACAAGAAGACAATTTTCAGGTCATAAGAGATGAGAGAAGTTGACTGGGAGACCAAACAATATGCAGAGGGCCTGGGGCTTGAACTTGCAAGTGTGAGAGTTTCAGATAAACCAGTTGAGAACAAACTCCTTTGCGCAAGAAGCAGGTTAATTCTTTATAGCCTTCTGGAATGATTTTCTTAAGTGCACAACTCACCTTCACAACAGAGGCGCTGCTTTTACTGAGCCTGCTGGGAGCTGTTTCTGAGTTACCGGTACTTGGGCAGTGCCCACCCTGCCAGTGGGGCATCTCAGGTAAGGGCTCCATCTGGTGCTGCTGCCTTTGACCTATCACAGGTAGAGTGATTTTTGTTCCTCTTTTCTGTGCCACAAGTCAGAGAAGTGTACATCACCCTCAGAACAGAAAATGGGAGGTTACTGTGAATTCTTAATTCCTGCTGGATTTTGTTCTGCAGTTCAGGCGAAAAATGCAGTTTCAAACACACAAAAGCCTTTTCCCTCTCTTTTCTACCAGGGGAGAGTGGAGCTGAGTTGCTGTATCACAGGCTATATAAGTTCAAAGCATAGCATTAGCTTTTTGAAATGTGGCCTTAAGATTTTGGGTTCATTCACTTTAAAACAGACTTAGTGACTGTTTTTTAAACAAACTGTCATTTTTCTTGGGTGTTGGTTTATTCCCAATAGTTTGGAGACTATTTTTGAACACAGCTACTACTGCTTCCACCAGAGGATTCTTTCTTGATGGGTCAGCAGCAGGACTCAAGGCTTTATTGTCCAAGACAAGTTATTAAATTAGACCAAAACTGCATTTGTTTCCAAGACATGTCCAACATAAGCATGATTCTGGCAGAATACAGGACATAAAATAACAGGTCTCTCTATTAGATTAGAAGCTCAAGAGGATTTTCTAGCTGCATTGAGAATCAGTGTCTTAGTGAGAAGACACTGCATTTGAAAAGAGAAGGGAAAAGCCTTCCTTCCAGAGGTGAGGAGCTGTGAATCACTAGATTGGGTATTTCAACAGCAATTTGTCTGGATGCAGGCTAATTTTTTTTTTTTTTAATAGTTATTTACAAGCAAACTTTCAACAAAATAAACAACCTTTCTAGTAAAACTCTGTTGTCCTTTCTGTTTGTATTCCTGACTGACAGATCCATCTTTCCTTACCAAATTTGACAAAGAAAGATACTTCCATGTTCATGCATCTGCACAGATGTAATAATTTTGATTCTACAGCCACACAGGTTGAAAAGGACCTATGAAGGTCCATGGTCCAATTCCACACTCAAAGCAGGTCTTATTAGAGCAGAGTCCTCATGCTCTTCTCCAATCGAGTACTGAGGCATTTTAGCAGGGACTTGAGATAAAATCGAGCTCTGAGAGCTGGAATTTAACCTTAGCTTACATTTGTATGGAGAGGGTACATATTTCACAAAATAAGAAAGGTAATTTTCTGTGGGAGACAGTTGTAGCTACAAAGGCATTGGCAGTTTCTCTCCCAAAGGCAGAGTTTTGTTTTGTGTTATTTCCACACCAGCTTTGCAGACATCGTATCCAAATTCAGCAGATGGCAGGGCCCAACCTGTGGTTCTGAATAATCTTCAGTAAAACACATCTGCAAAAAATGTAGAGAGAATTAGGTACTCTATGGTCTGTGCTTTCTCACTACATGTGTCTCTGTGCTGAAGAAACTTCATTCCCTCAGAGTGTCTGTCCTCCGGGAGAATCCACCCCATCAGCCACTTTATCCATGCACTTACAGGCCAAGCAACATCAATGTCCCTTTCCACAACTTTGTTCTTCATGGCAAGCTATGAATGCCACTTTTGCAGCTGTATAACAACAGTGATTTTTAAATGTTGATGATGAAAAATAAGACTTATATTTTATTGCCCTGTTACATAAACCTCTGGACAGCTGTGCCTACCTTCCCTTTGAATTTCTGCCACAGTATCCAGTGTTCCTGTAGCGGTGCAGAAACCACATCTACCATGGTCTTTTCAGCAGGCTGATTCATTCCAGACATCTCTTGGGGTTTGTGTTTTGCAAACTGTATGCGAATATTAACATGCAGCACCTGATTGTGCTTTTTGGGGGGGACTGTGTGCTGACTAGAGAAACAGGTAATAAACAGTTAAGTGTCTCCTTCTGCAGAAGCTAGTTGTTTGCCTACTTACTTTTTCAGAAACAAAAGTCAACAGAAAAGCACAGAGACCAGTGTCATCACAGCACTTACCTTCATGTCCTGTTACAGGTGGTTTGCAAAGCCCTGAAACGTTGCCTCAGGCAGCCCGATTTAAAGTCGTATCATGGTTTGCTATGCTCACTATTGAAATTATTACAAAGATTTGGGTTCTGATAACAGTGATGTTGTGTGCTTGCCTATTTTTCATTCCAAGTCATGGTGTTCATTGCAGCCTAGCTTTAAGTCACACAGAACGAAGAGGAAAGCAAAGCCTCCCTTGTTCAATCCCCTTGGTGGGCTCTGTGGGCATGATTCTGTTCTGCCCAGCAACCCCATATGCCCATGATGTTCATGTCTGTGGAGCCAAAAATACAGGGGAATTTCTTTCGGAGGGGTTAAGCCAGGCTCTCCACATTGGGGGTGAAGGCTGTAGGCGAGTGGGGAAAACAAACTACTTAATAAACAATACCTCTGATTAGATAGGGATGAACAAGCTGGACTTTGAGATAGTTGAGCAAGACTGCAGAGTACAGAAAACAGGAAACATCCAGCACAGTGTGGAGAAGTGGGCAGGAGACAGACTCAGCTTGGATTAGACTTTAACCCCATCACGCAGGCAGCAGCCTCTCGGGGCCACAGAGCCAGGTGTTTTTCATGTGGATGCATATGATTCTTGGACATGCTTCCAGCTCCCACTGTTTTTTTCCATTCCATTTCAATACCTTTTACAGGTCTGACCATGTCCAAAAGTGTTGATAAAGTTAAATAGTATTTCATTTACAGAGGGAAGCTTTAAGCTTTTAATTTTTCTCTTGGTGACCATGTCATTTCTGAAATTGCTTCATCCATTTCTTTCATTGTTCTTTCTCAGATATACTAGTTTGCCTCTCTTCCCATTTGCCTATTATTTGTTTTTAAAATGCTAGTTAATTTGAGTAATTAAACGCAAAAACAGTATCAGAATTATTCTGGTAGAACCAGACAGAAAAAAACACAATCTCCAACCTGGAAGAATATAAGCAATTCAAAACTTTTTACCTGTTGCCTTTAAACCAGACTTTCCATTGATTTTAATGTACTTTATCCAGCAAGACTTCACTCAAAATTTCAGTGCAGAACTGGCAGATCCTTTGACAGCAAGGCTGGATGTAAAAAGGATGGCAATTAAATTAACTTCTACTATGAAAACCTGGTACTTGCATTGTCAAACTCCAGAAAGCAAACCAACAAATTAAAGACCTAAGTAATAGCCCAAGCCATCTGTGAATACAGCTTTTGGTATTCTTTAACATTTTAAATGCATACTTCTGCCAACTTTCGTATGGTGATTTCATATGGAAAAGTCAACACCAGCAAAATTTCCAAGCCATTCAAACAGAAAATACACTTATGTTCTGCCATAGCTGTGAGAGAAAATGCCAGACATTTGTGTTTTAACTTTAGCAGTCTCTTTTATACCTAACTACTATTTTCTGTTTCATGCTATAAAAGGCACAACAATGAACATTTAAGCTCTTACTAGTTATGCATCTTGTTTGCAGTGATGTTTCAAACACAGATTTGAACAAGCTGTAAGGTTTTTTATATTGCAAGACAGTTTATATCAGCTTTCTCATGAACACATAAAAAAGCTATAATCTGTGCAGAAACTCCTCAGTCGCTGTATTTGGTTAGGTACGTGTATTTGGGGATGAGGAACCCCAGGGATGCATAGAAGACATGGTCCTTCCTCTGAAACTGAACTCCCACTGGCAACCCTGCAAACTGCAAAAGACAAACCCAAGGTACCACCACAATGGGTGGCAACATAAACAGCAATGAATGCTACAAAATGTATTTGTTTCACACTATTAAGGAGCCACTTTGTCACAAAGTGGTTACCTGGACCCCTCAACATTTGTCTGCATGGCATCTGCCTCTCTTTGCCTCTTGTTTCCTTGGTGTTCATGGCCACAAATCCAGTCTCTGTTCCCATAATGTCTGGGTATAGCCCCCTCTACTCACACCAGCAGACAGCCTTTGTCCAGCCACAGCCCTAGGGCTGCACCACCTTAGTCTGAAAAAGGCTTAAGCAGAAAAAGAAGCCATTAAAAAAATCAGTTGAGTCACTGGAAAGGTGAGTGAACTGGCAATACTGAGTTTAATCATGAACTCCATGACACAGGCTTGCAACTTGGATAATACACCATTTTTTTTCACAGAATGATTATTGCAGGCAATGATTTGTACTTTTTATGAACCAGGTTAGTTGTTTGGTTAAATGCAAGTACGCTGCATTCCCCTCACGACGCAAGCTTATTCCTCTTATCATTTAAGGATACACAATACCACTATAACCTAATTTTTAGAGCTACAAATATTGTATGATTACTTATGATGAAAGTATGTACTCTTTTCCATTTTAATATCACTGCAATTTCTGGTCACTGTCATGGGTCTGCATGCTAACAGGACCAAACCTTACAGTGACATCATCCAGCATAATTCCTCATTCTTGCCTGAAAAGGCTCCCATTCCTAAACTAAGTGGAAAAGTTAACCATCATGTCCACTCACCTTTTTATCTCCTCACTCCTCAAAATCTCTGCTAGGACCTGTAATCCTAGTGCTTGGAGTGCTGAGTGTTGGCTCAGAAGGTCTAGAAAGGCACATATCAGTAATTATCCGCCTGGAAAAAAGATATATATACTTCTGAAAGAGATAATAATGCAAAGTGGGCTGCAGGAGATTATCTAAAGTGGTTTCTAAATGTCAGACACTGATTTTTTTTTCAAGAAGACTCCCACAGATTTTCTCTAATAGGCTGTCAGATCGTATCACAGATGACACTGGGAAAGAAACACTTCCAAGTACTTTCGTCCTGTGACAGTTTCTACCAAACCAGGAGCGACAGGACTGAAATTCTGATTTTTTTCTGTGGCCCAGTATGACACCTTCTTGGTCTCAAGAGGGTCTTAGATACTGTATTTAATTAAAAATATTTTAATCTATATTGGATGCCTCTGTTGTGGTGGAGAAGCTTTAGTACATCATGGGTTTTGTCTTTCTGCTAGGATGGGAGAAATGGAATGTAAAGTGAACACTGTAAAGCAGGGAAGGCTTTATGTGCATGTTATGTGGCACAGCATTCTTCAGCAAAAAAGTATGGATCAGGAAGGACAACATTAAAGAAAACAAAGGAACACAAGCACAAGGCCTTCAGCTGGACTGCATTCTCAGCTTTTTCACTTTATGCTGACTGTCATAAAATGCTACTGCTGGCAGCATGCAAGTTGCTGAGATTGCCTACAAGTCCAGTAAAGGCTAAAGGTGTCACTGCATGAGCCAAACAAACTGAGAAACTACGTCATTCCCCAGGCAAACACTGGGTCTTTGTGGTAAAAATGTGCCAATGTCCAAGGTTGCTGTGTTGTTGCTGAGGGTATGATGTTTGCATAACAGTCCCTGCGCTGCTCTTCCCTCCAGGAAAACTGACCTGCAATATGGAATATGGGGGGAGAGAATAAAACAAATAATCAACCTCCCTGGGTCTGGGGAATAGCTGGAGCATGGTTTCATGTAAACTGGAGCGCTAATGCACTATTTATACAGCATCAGTATTTTTCACAGAAAAATTTTGCTAAGCAACTGAGAAGTTTGTATGTCATTGCCATGTGGGTGGATGTTTCAATGGAATTTTGGTGGAAAATTTGGCTTGCAGTTGTGCACCTCAATGTGGGCATATTTTGTCTGATGACCATCATTCTCACGCATACACTGGGTTACAGAACATCAGAGCTTGCTGTTTTATTAACCCTGATGCTGTAGCATCACATGTTGCCTTTCCACATACTAACTGGAAAAGGAAAATATGTTTCCATGCTAAATTTTCCAGTGAGGAAGAGCAGTGTAACACTTATGAAGCCACAGAAATGATACCAGCTCATGCCAATTAAAGATCTGTTGCATTGTTTCTGTATTTTGTTTTCTACTCTTCCTTCCTGCACTGAGTAGTTTCCTAAGTATAAGCTTTCAAAAGATCTAAACCTAAACACAAAGCTATGCCCAAGATCCCTGTAAACAATTTCCATGGTTCCTCTTGCACTTCTTTTCAGTCTGTTTTAGGAGGAGGAGGAATAATTTGAAATAACTGGAAAACACCTCCATTTCAGTGCATGGTAAATGGCCTTATATATACACAGGGGAGGGAAAAGGGAAGGAACAGCAGGAGAATGACCAGGTCCCATTGGAGGTGTGTGGTGGTGGTCTGATAGCCAACGACAGACATCGAGCAGTGACACCTCCCCAGTCAGGCTGGGGAGGGAGGAGGGACAATGAAGGAGAGGGGGTGGGAAGCTGTCAAGAATTTTATAAAAGTTAGTGTTAGAAGGACTGGGTATCTTTGCCTGCAAACACCTCACCAGAAGCTTGTAGCAGCAGAGGCACTGCCTACAAAAAAGTAAGTATAATAATTTAGTTTCTAAACTGTAAAGGTGGTATGTATATCAGCAGCTGAGACCTGGCATGTTTATCTACACTGGGCTTGGAAAGTTGTTTTGATGTTGTTTTTACTTTTTTGTTCCAGGAACAGCTTGTAAGAATTAAGCACTCAGCCATTCTGCAGTGGTCTTCCAAAGTGACCTATTTGTTGCTAACACTGGCTTTCTGACTTAGCTTAGTCACTCAGAACTCCTGGAATAAGTGAATCCTTAGTCTAAGGGGACTAGAGCAATATCATACCTGCATTGCTTTCTGTTGCTTTGTTTTGTATTTGGTTTATGCTTGTGGCATACCCAAATTTATGTTTTGCAAGGAGAATAGAGAATGACTGCAGAAGGCAGCTGGTCCTGACAGGCACCAGTGCTGACAGAAGTGTAATTATGTTGTGTTCATTGTGCAGCTTCTTCTGAAGCATTAGTGCAGTAGTGTGGATAAGATCCTTTGGCAGGGGGGTGTAGGATGGTCTGCAGTGCAGGAAAACAAAACCTGCTTTTGCATTAGGCTGTAACCTCTCCAGCTGTGAACAGACAGCTTCAGGAAATTGTTCAACCAGTAAAAATCCTCACTGAGTCTGTGATCCTCCATCACATTCTCAACATGTGCCTACAACCCAAAACTACTTTTAGCCCACTTGAGACCCTCGCCACTTCCCCCGCCAAGACTGCAATTCTCATGCAAGTCTGACATCATTTTATTACCTTCTCTGAGAAGAGCCCAGCCCTGAAATGGGGGTACATTTGCTCAGAACTTGAGTGTGGCTCTGAGGCTAACATGGGAGTCAGGACAGGAGATAGGATGTTGAACCAAGGTCCCTAGACAGAACTTGAAGATAGTAAAAAAGAATTCACCGAAGAGAGCGAAAAACAACCAGGCAGTTTACCATCAAATATGCTCCAAAGGACCTATTGAGATGGTGAAATAAGTATGTCAATCAAAAACATTTGTCCCTTTCTCTAGGTGACAGAAGTCTAAGTATCTCTTTTTGTCCCTTACCCTTGAGACTTTTTAGAACCCAGAAATGAAATTTTGCTATACTAAAACCATCACTGTTAATGCAAAGATGATGGGGGAAACATCCTGTTCTTTCCTCAGAGCTCCTTCCTACATACAGGAGGCACTGCTTCTACTTCGACTCCTGAAGCAGGTACTCACAGAGAGTCACAGGGTAATTCAGGATGAAAGGGACACCAGAAGGTCTGCAATCCCACCACCTCCTGCCCAAAGTAGGGTTAGACATGAGGTGAGACCAAGGTGTTCAGGGCTTTATTCAGATGTGCCTTGGCAACCTTCAAGGATGGAGACACCACAGCCTCCTTTTCAATCTGCTCCATTGCTTGGCTGTCCTAACAGTGAAAATTTTTTCTTCATATCCAGTCCAAATCTCTCTAGTTTCAGCTTATGCCTGTTGTCTCTCACTGTCCCTGCACATGCCACTGTGAAGAGCCTGTCTCTGCCTCTGCAATCACCAGTCTGTAGGTGCTGGGGACTGCTGAGAGGTCCCCCCGAAGCCATCGCTGTCTGAGGCTGAACTGGACCCATCTCTGCAGACTTCTCACAGAGCAAGTGCTGCAGCCCCCAACCCTCTTGGTGGCACGTGTTGAACTGACTTGCTTCAGTTTGTCATGTCTTTCCTGTACTGCAGGGACCCAACACTGGAGGCAGTACCCAAGTGTAATCTAAAGAGTGCTGAGCCAAGGGGGATAACCCCTGTCCTCCTCTAGGCTGGACTCCTGCTCACATAGGATGCTTGGGCCCTTGTTGCTGGCCCCCTGTTCAGCTCAGTGACTGACACGGCCCTGGGCCATCCCCAAAGAGCTGTTCCCCCATCCCACTAGTCCTGGAGGGATTGCTGCCAGGGCTCTGTGCCCCAGGCAGTGACTGGGCATTTGTCCTGACTGGACTTCATGAAGCTCCTGTTGGCCTCTTCCTTCCCCCATCCAGGTTCCTCTGGATGGCTACCCATCAAACAAGTGTATCCATGAGTCCTGCCAGTTTGGTGTCATCTGCAGGTTGGATAAGGATGTGCTCTCTCAGCAGGATGGGGCCAGGTTTGCCCAGCAACTCATACCCACCTGTTTTCACAGTGCCCGAGTAACCAGACTTACTGAGGAACAGCTCTTTAATGGAGGTCCACAGAGAAGTGAGGCCAGTAACTTGATTTATCCACTGCAATGAGAATACAAGGTGCCTAACCCATTACATGTCTGTCTCTCCCAAGCATACAAGTGTAAAAGAGGAGTAAATCCAGTCAGGTCAACACTGAGCCTACATGAAACAGGCTAAACTTTTGAATACTCTTCATTCTCCCTATCAACTGTATTTATCCATTTATATGTTCCACATCTGCTTCTTCAAACCCTGCTCCTTGGAAGCAGAGTCTTTTGTGTGCACAGTTTGTATTGCTGACTGTCAGAGATGGAGACACCACAGCCTCTCTCTTTATTAGTAATTGATCAGGAAAAGCTACATGCATGAGATACAAACTGTAGTTTGAGAGTTTGGTCCTGCACTTTTGGAACCAATTTTATAAGAGATGGCAATGAAGAGACCCAAGAAAAAAATTTACAGATTCTGATCCAACCTTTCCCATCTGCAAACCAGGACTCAGGTGAGGTTTTTTGTAAGATTAGAAGATGTCACTTGAACTGTTTGGAAAGAAAAGACACCAATGGAGTATTAATGTTTCTAAGATGACCAGAAGGTAAAATGTAACATTGTTCCTTCTGCTTTTTGTCTTGACTATGCTCTTTGGGTCTCAATATTATCAGGATACAGTGCTTGTGCTGATATCCATGAAGATACTTCCCCTCCTCCTTTATGGTAACTGAGTAAAGCATGAGATTTCATGAGTAAATATTTACTTTTACAACTGTTCTATCCCCTTTCCCCTACCCTCACCTCCTGCTGGCCACGAGCTGGGGACTGAACAAAACTTTGATTGCTTAATGAGCTGCTGGAACCTGACAAACACTCCAGGTAGCCACAAAACTGGTTTGTTTTTTATTTGGTTTTGTGGTTTGGTTTTGTTTTGCATTCTGCGTAGTTTTACTGTTTTGTAGGCTTTTTTCTTCTAATTTTAGAAAAAGCTATGTAAGCAGTTACTACAAAGAGAATGCATCGTATTAATGCAATGTAAAATCAACATGAAATCACTTGAGCTTCTGACACTTAGCCCACAGCCTAAAATGGGTAAATAAAAACAAAAATTCTTGGAAAACTTTAGTGGTGGGACAACTCCTATGTATTGTTACTGATATCACAGCTCATTTGAGCTTTTTTCTTCCTGGAAAAGTTGACAAATTAAACAGATAAATAAGGCAAATGGACAAATTTGTTCTTAGAAGACTGAAATGAGCTGTGCAGCTCTGGCAGCCTAGGCACAACTGTTTTTCCTCAGGACCTGTGAGGTGACATATCCAGCTCTTTAAGGGGAGACGTTAATGTTTCTGTGGATGTGCTAGGAGCTTGCTCTTTACAGGGTAGCTGTATGAAACATTACTGAAGTGTAAGGCTTCTCCACTCCCCTTTAAATGCTCAGAGCAGGACCTTACAGCAGAGACACCCTTTTTGAATCCAACCATGAAGATCCTCAGAAATTATGCTCCTCATGAAAGAATCACAGCAAAACAAAATCCTAAATCAAGGGGACTTAAACATTCTGCACCTTTGAGCTATTATTAGGTTTACAATTGCTCTTTTGCTCTCATTTCTCCATCATTTCAGCTAGAAACATTGTGCCTTTTATTCATCCTTGCAGCTCAGCAGGGTAGCTGGAAACCACTCACCAAAGCCTTAAAGATAATTTTGGGGAGACTTTTGGCAAAATTCCACCTACTCCTTCACACTCAATGAGATCCTTGCATAGAAACTGGAACTAATCTGCTGTCTTCCAATTCATCCTTGTGGAACTACACTGTATGGTTTCAGCTTCTCAGAGTACTCACTTGGAGCAGCATTATTTGCTGAAAGCTTGTATTTCTGTACTTCTGTGCTTTGCAGGCTGGCTTCGAGTGATAACTGTCTCTTTGTTATCTTTAGGGAAACACTGGAAATAAGTAAGAAAGAGCAGACATTAGGCTCACTGTTTATTGCATTGCTGGAAAGAAAATGTGCCCACAATAACATGACTAGAGCAACTGGTGGTCTTCCAGTTCAGGTACAGGGATTAAAGATTACCTGGATACACCCCCTGGTGCTGCAGCACAGCTCCAAACTGCAACTCTAAAATCCCACCCCTGCTTTAGAGATTCATTAACTTTGACCTTGGACAAGATCGTACTTTTGCCAGGTCACAATTTTCCAGTCTTTTCCACAGATACTGTGAACCACTGGAGTGATTCCTCATCATTTTGCAAAACCACTTATTTAACAGTACAGTGGTTTTACCTGAAGTGCTCACCACCCAACTATTACAGTAATCATAACAACAAGCCAATTTCCTCTTTGAGACATATCTGACACAGACAGCAGGTGAATGAT